CGAACCCCACAGCATTTGCCCCTGCAGTGCCAAAACTTCAATAGTTTTGCAGCGCAGCTGCAGTGCTGCAAAGAAGACAATTTGGGGGCGCATGGGAACATTACATTTCTCGTGCAATAACGTCCCTAGGGTGGGGATGTTCGAAGTAGATAATTCTCATATTATACTACTGTTTTTACTAGAGTGGTCTTATAAAAATCAGCATAGGCACATTGTACGGATCGGATGGAGGTGTTTCTAAGAATACAGATGCAGGAGTCCGTCTTGGGGGCATCCTTCACATGTGTTGCTGTTAAGAAGTTTTTTTAATATCAAAGTACCATAATTAGGAAACTAGGTTGATTATTGTACATCCCATTATGGTGGCTTGGCTTGGGCGCCTAAATGCTAAACTCTAAATCCTGAATCCTAAACCCTGAAACCCTAGATCATAAACCCCCTTCATTATATACCCCAACGTATGCTTTATTCTAAAACAGTAGTTTGTATGTGCTTTTCCATTATTCCCGTTAGTTAGGCTCCTATAGTCTAGGTGGAGCCCCCACCCAGTAATTGTGACCAGATGGCATGATGGTGACTATGTGACGGTCCTCTTATATGTTCCGATTATACCACTATTACAGGTTGAGGTTCCACCTATCCTTTCGTACAGACCTATCTGCCCAGGCTTTGTCTTATGGATCGTGCTTCCCGCGTTCACGGGGATGAGGAGTCGAAAGCTGCATGCCGGTTCGGAAGGACGGTGGAACTTCTATCGCAAGGCCGGGGCTCTGTCGTAGAGATTGCGATTTACAATTATCGTCCACTGCTTGGGCTTCTTTTCAGCAGTTGCCCCAACAGTGCTCCCAAACTGCAGTACGGCATGAAATCTGCGCGCTCTCATACCAACAGGGACTTTTTCTGCACAGACGGTGCTTGTTCAAAAGCACTCTTCAGCAGCCTTTGTCATCTTGTAGCCTGTAGCGAGGATCCTGTGCCGGACCCCTCTGCATCAGGTATGGGTGGAGTATGGCTTACGAGTCCCGCTGATCATTGCCATTGGACTGTCCGTGAGCAATTTCATGAGGGACTGGCTTGGTACAGATTTTCTGCAAGATCGCAACCCATTGCCTATTCTGATCTTCTCGGCGCTGGAGTACTATGCTCGCAAGACTTTGACGGCAGTAGCTGGAACTGATGTTATGATTTCAACCTTCCTGCAGTCTGAAACATGGCGTGCCGCCTTCACTGAGCAAGACATAGCCGCCAACAAGGATCTCTGCGCTTGAAAGCCAATTTTCTATGTTGACTGTCTGTCATGTGCCGTGTGCCAGGCAATCTGACCCTAACGCCTTGTGGCTAAGGATCGCATTGACGCCCTCTGCCCCATCTTGCTTTCATCGTCAAAGACGCACGCAAGTCCAGCAGATGTTGCGGAAAGCGAGACCAAGTTGCAGGAAGACGACGCGCGGTTAAATGTTAATGGATATTAGGCTAGATATTAGGTTTATATAGGATTAAAAGGAAGGGACATGGAAAACTACCACATCATTTGTGGCGGCATATAGGAAAAAGGAAAAGAAACTGGAAACCACCATATCACTTATGGGGTTAGAAGGGGTATGTAGAGGAATGATAAAGAAAATGAAAACCACTAAAGTAGGTCTTGATTGACAGTTGGCCTCTTTTTCTAAGCCATTGCTTGCTCTTTCCCTCCGGTCACGCACAGAAAACCCGACAAACATCATGAGTCCCCCTACTATCCCCCCGCCCCCCCCTGTACTATAATCAACCTTAGCTAGGGGGAACCTTGGGCCAATGAAAACACCTGTGTTTTGAACAGAGTTCCGTGCTACCCTCCACCAGTTGCGTGACCTCCTGAGGCCTCTTCGCCTCAGCAGCCACAAAACACGACGAAAGGCGACGCGCAATCCTTGGTTGTTTCACCCCACGAGGTCCAAGAAGTGCATGAAGTGCATGTTTCTGACGGTGGAGAAGTTAATGAAAGCAGCGACATCGACAACAAGTCGTCATCGTTGCACTAGACCCTCCTCTGACCGTCCGACGAGTCAAAGCATCAGTTCAAAAGCTGCTTATGGCTATAGCATTGCCACGTGCGATGAAAAGACTGCTACACGGCCCGTCATAATTACTGCGGCTTTGCCGCTGACCCCCCAGACTTGGCTGAAAACAGGAGCCGAGCCTCGCCGGCTCCCTCATGATGTGTTGCGCTCGCCTTTTTTTCACAGGCTTGCTGTGAAGCTTTGCAGCCGCAAACAAAAGCAAGCAGGTATACTGTATACTGCTCAAGCCAGAGCAGTCAGCGGCAAGCAACCATCTCAAGCAGCATTCTTGGAAAATCCATTTGCCTTCTTTGTACCTGAAAGTCGGCCCAAGCCTCAGCGACCGATGAGCATGGGATCTGCTGAGTCGCAAATCACAGCCTCCACCTAAGTTGACAAGACGTGCAAATCCTTGGTCTTCCTCGGCTGCATGTGGCAGGTCAGCTACGTAAATTATCTTGCAAAATAGTGCCTCTATCCCTCAGGATACACCCCATTTTGAGGGGCGGTTCAGCAGCTGTGCTTGCCGTTGGCAGGCCATGCCGGATGCCGCCATTGCTGCGCTGGCGCTTGCCAAGATGTCTCCAGCCGCACCGCGGCGAAAGCTAAGAGGGAAGCCCAAGCCCCGATGCTCGGGTTCTCAGACGACACGTTTAGGTTCCCCCCAAAAATACACCGCTGCTATGCCTCCTTGCCGAGACCTTACGGCAAGGCAGCTGCTGTCGCCGGTGATGAGGTGCGTCACCTCATGGCCGGTGGCCCAGAAGTTCAGACGGATTTGCAAAAGGTATGGGCATCGTTTTGGGTTCTGAAATCGCAGGTCTTCCTTGATTCGGAGGGAAACATTGATTGGGTGGTAGGGCGGATTGGCACTGTACTGTACAGAACTCAGTCCTGGTGCCCAATCCACATGCGAAATCTAAGTGCCTGGATTGCGGGGCTGGGAGTAGAATGTTCGTCAGGTGAGAACCCATTCTTTATATTGAAGATAATCGGCAGAACTGGGCAGTTTGAGTTAGCAGTGGCATATCCAGCCAACCGCGGATCGACTAGACAATCAGCCGCAACAGCAGTGCTGTAGACGACGCCACATTTATGGAGTCCATGAACGTTGCAAGTTCTCAGGACCAGGAGTTCCACATCTTTCCGGACGGATGCTGCCCGCCATGTAGCGCCTGTCAACTTGCGGAAGAAGTGGATTCTTAACATACGTTCATGCCTGAACGTCAGCGGACTCTTGCGGAATAGTCATTTTGTTATGCAGCATCTCATCTCGAGAGATTCATGAAGGGGCTCCTCAAGCACAATCCCCAAATAGTCTGTAAGAAGCCACCATATCCCTAAGAGTTGTAAGACCCCCTTCATGTTGAGAAGCTCCCATGTAGGGACAAGCTGTGCCAGTCATTTCCCCAGCGCGGGATGCCTTGGGAAGGAGCAGAGACAGGCACTCTTCGACCAGGCCAAGGACATGCGCTTCGAGGGTTAGGGTTTAGGGTTTAGGGCGCGAGTGGGGAGTGAACACGACTAAAACTACCATCATTGGGGTGCCGTTGAGGAGTGTAGCTGCAGACAGTGCTGTCAGAATACACAAACAAAGTTGTCGCAGTTGTTCCTGTCCGCCGCTGAAAGTAGAATTGATGCCCGTCCGGTTAGAATCAACTCTTTTGTGAAAAGGGCTGGGCGGGCAGCCGACAGAAAAGGAGCAACTCGCCTTCTTGATCTTTCATCCTGGTTGCATAGGATTGCCCACCTCACGGCCTGAAGCCTACACGTGGATTACTTCAGACATCCTTCAAACGCTGCTCTTCCTTCGGATGAAGGCCTTCATAATACTGGTTTCTTACTGACCCAGCCTGTGAAGAGGAGACGATCATTGCAGCACGCTCTGCAATGCTTGCCCCGGACGCAGCTGCATCCACAGTTGGGGCCATGGAGCGCCCAACATGCCCTGCCCAGAAGATGGAGTCAGCATTATCACAGGTAACAGGAAAGAGAGGACGGTAGCAGCCATCAGAAGATGACAGATGATGGTAAGGATACTATTGACGATTGGTTCCACGAATGAGAACCTGGCAATGAGCAAAGAGTTCCCTTTGTTGCTAAAGGGTTGTACTCGAATATACAGCACTGGAAGGGGTACCATTTGTTGCCAACAGTCGTTGGTCAATTGTAAAGCATTTGAAGAAGTGCGATTGTTTGCCAACAGTGTGTGCTCGACTTGTTGCTAACACTGTGAGTATCATTTGTTGGCAACTGTTTCGATATGTTGCCATCAGCTTGTGCTTGAATGTACTGCATTGAAAACATGTTTGCCCGAACGTACATCTTCAAAGAAGTGTAAACAGCCGCTAAGTACCAAGCAACTTGGGACATCAAATCTGTAGTGATGAACGTGCCCAGTATCAAAGCAGTTGCTACCGCCGTCAAACCCCGTGTTGGTGCTGTTACGTGCTATTGGTGATGCAGTCAGTATAGAGAAGAATCTGGCTTTAACTTATTGCTTGTTAATGAGTCGGGAATAGGGGAATATCATCCCTTTACAACCCGCATGTAAAAACATTCCCTTATTCCCTACTACCCCCCCCCCCCAGTAAGTCAAAGTGCTGTCTGACAGCTTCTGCTCTAGGCTGCCTCCGTGCCAGCAGCCCCTGAAGTTGCACAACAAGGGGTGCCAGCCCTAGACATGAAGCTGTCCACCTTTCGGTACCCAAGGGCTTCCATGTATTTGCTTTTTGGATCTGCTACGTTTACTTTGTAAAGGATTATGATACCTGGACCCCAAAGAGTAGCTAAACTAGTGGCCCCAAACCCCTAAGAAAAGCTCCAAAGACCATTATTCTACATACTGATGGGGCTCAGGTCGTACCCACAGAGGAACTACACAGGAGGGTCTGGGTAGAGCTGCGTGCTGGAACTGCCTGCAACCTTGCGAGGAAGATTTAAGAAGGGCTCGTTCACGGGTTCTTCCACTCGGAAGTTGCCTAAAGCAGCTTCAAGAATTTTGTGGTATTTCTTGGATCCCATTATGTCCGCTGGTCTGGCGAGTCATGTCTGTACGAGCTTGAAGAAGAGTTTTCCCTATCTCCCAATCATTTTAAAAGGGGCTTGCTGTGTTTATCATGTTGGAGATGCAGAGTCCTGGCAACTTTGCCGAACCTGTTGGTGGATTCTTTGGATTCTCAAAGACCAGCATGAGCTACGAAAGTGTACCGAGTTGAGGTCACAGCATCCGCCATAGCGGCTTGGACCGCTTTCATGGAGTTCACCGGTAAGTGACCACGCCAGGGCCAACAAGTGCCAGCTTGAAAGTGTAGCTTGAGAGTTTGGGATTGATATGGGCAGAGGGTTCTCAGCCATCTATGGTGCTTCATGAGCTATCTAGACCGCACGGAGCGAAGCCTTGTTTCAAGCAGGTACTTCAACTGTGCCAACGACAAGCACTTTCGCAGGTTCTGGGCTTCGCACTTCCGCCATGCGCTATCTAGCATTAGGCAGCTCTCAAACCACAGAGGGACAGGTGTAGCAGAGAGTGGCAAGCTGGTATGTGATCCCATAGCACGCACAGGTCTGGCCAGCCGCAGTTGTGATGCCTTCGGCCCAGCAATTGCGGCTTTAGACTGGGAGCAAACGGGCCCGGCAGCGGACTCATAACATGTGCCGAAATGGCATACAAGTCCGGCAAAGCCTGGACATTGTTTATCTTTGGACCAGCTGGACTACGACGTCAGCCAGGTTTTGCCTGACTGAGTTGTCAGAAGATGTAGTAGATCAATGCAGAAACCGCCTTCCTGCCCTGCTGCTCCCT